GAGGGGGAAGGGAGCAGGGAGACTGTAGTTCCAAGAAGTGACTAGGTAAGGAGGAAGATGATGATGATAGCTGATATCCACTTAGCGCCATGGTATGCCAGGCTCTGTGCTAAGCACTTCACATTCATTCATTCGACACATATCTCTAGAGCAGTGGTTCTCAACCTTCCTAATGCCGCTACCCTTTAATACAGTTCCTCATGTTGTGGTGACCCCCAATTTCATTGTTACAAATTGAACATAATTAAAGCATAGTGATTAATCACAAAAACAATATGTAATTATATGTGTTTTCCGATGGTCTTAGGCGACCCCTGTGAAAGGGTCGTTCGACCCCAAAGGGGTCACGGCCCACAGGTTGAGAACCGCTGTTCTAGAGGGTAGAGCCGCCAGACTTAGCAAATAAAATACTGGGCACTCCGTTAAAATTTGAAATTCAGCTACACTATGAATAACATTTAGTACAAGTGTGTCCCATACAATGCTAGAAAAATTATTTGATGCTTATCTAAAATTAAAACTTAACTGGGCCCCCAGTTTTTCTCTGATAACCCTAATTGAGGTTATGCCCAACTGTGACTGAATAGCAAAAGGCGGTTATTTTCCACTGGGGTTCAGGGAAGGAGCTCTTAAGAAGGTGACACTTGAGCAGAGATGTCAATAAATGGAGACTTCAATGACCAAAGGGAAACACAGTTCCAGGCAGTGAGAAGAGCCCATGCAAAGGCCCTGAGACTAGGGCTAAGGGAGGGGAGAGGGGGCCTTTGAGGAGCAGAGGGATGGAGGAGAAAGGGACAGGATCCATGGTCATGATAAAGAATTTGGATGTTACTCTAAGTCAAAAGGAAGGCACTGAAAGGCTTTTCCACTGGAAGCGCCAGATTGGGGTCTGATGCCTACAGCCTGAATCTCTGAATCCAGCTGAGACACAGAGGACCTGACATTGGCAGGAAAGGAAAAAAGGAGGAACAAGGGAAAAAAAAACCTGCTTTAGAAGAGAGCTGAGCAGGTCTCACAGGAAACGTACGCACAACAGCAAACCAGCCGCCCTCAACAGAAACCTCCACATTTTCCCTGAGTGGTTCCCCCAGCCTGGCAGCCGGAGGGGGGCGGGGGGGGGGGACGTCGGTGTGACAACGCCATCAATTTCCATTTTGCTTTGGCCAAATACAGAAAGGACATTTCAAAGACTTTTAAAAATAACTTCCAAACAACTCAAGGGTAGGGTGGGAAAAAGAGGGAGAAAAGTTATATTCAGCCTGCTCGAGAATAAAAATAATGACAATAACTAATACAAATAAAAATAATTGTATTATGAAGCAGGCAGATTATGGTAGCAGGGTCCCACAACTAAGAAAGGACCAGGCAGGGTTTTTGTTGGTTTGTTTGTTTTTATACTCACCCCAAGGACATTTCTCCCATTGATTTTTAGAGAGAGGGAAGGGAGGGAGGAGAGAGAGAAACATCGATGTGAAAGAGACACATCAATTGGTTGCCTCCCATACATACCCTGACCAGGGCCAAGGATCCAACCTGCACCTAAGGTGCATGCCCTTGACTGGGAATCGAACCTAAGACCCTTCGGTCCTCAGGCCAACGTTCTAATTGGGCCAAACCAGCCAGGGCCAGGCAGGGTTTAAAGGTATGCTTGTCTGGCCCCAAATCCTGGGCTCCCCAAAGCTCTCTGGGGACTTGCTATGGACTGAATTGTGTCAACCCTTATTCATATGCTGAAGCCCTAACCTCAGTGTGATTGTTTCCAGAGGAAGGTTGTTAAGGAGATAATTGAGGTTAAATGCGGTCATAAAGGTGGGGCCCTCCTCCCTCCCTGTCCATCTCTCCCAACCCTGAGGACACAGCGAGAAGGCGGCCCTCTGCTAGCCAGGAAGCGAGCCCTCCCTGGAACCTGACCACGCTGGCACCCTGATCTCAGACTCCCAGCCTCCAGAGTGGGCGCCATCAATGCTGCCTGTGGTATCTTGTTATGGCGGCCAGGCAGACTAAGAAAATGATGTGAACCCAACCACAGCCCAGCTCCCAGCCAGCCCATCCTGTCAGCCTAGCTATGGAAAGCAAGATCCCTTGCCCCACCTCCTCTTCAGCCTTCCTTCTTAGCTGACACCTAGAGGGGCTCCCCACCTGGCAAGCCCTTCCCTTCCGCCCTTCTTCCCCGCAGGACTCACATGCCTTGGGAGATGCCAAGCAGTAAGTCCTGGCAGCACAAGGACTGCTCTGGAGAGGAGCCCAGTGGCAGAGTGGAAGGAGCACGGCCTTGCTATTAGAAACCCGAGTTCCAATCCCAGCTCTATCACCAACTGATTGGGTGGCCGTGAGCAAAGACCTGAACCTCAGTTTCCCTTTCTGAGGAACTGGGATAATACAATGCACCCCACTAGGATCATTATGGAATTAAATAAGATGCGAGATTTTTTAAAAAATATATTTCATTGATTTTTTACAGAGAGGAAGGGAGAGGGATAGAGAGTTAGAAACATCGATGAGAGAGAAACATCGATCAGCTGCCAACTGCACAACCCCCCTACTAGGGATGTGCCCGCAACCAAGGTACATGCCCTTGACTGGAATCGAACCCGGGACCTTCAGTCCGCAGGCTGATGCTCCATCCACTGAGCCACACCAGTCAGGGCTAGTTTTGTTTTTATTTTAAGTCAACACAACACCTGGCACAAAGTCAGCACCTGATAAGCAGTAGCTGTTAGTAATAATCACAACAATAACAATCAAATCGTGGGATTGCATCAGTTCACTCAACAAATTTTTTTTTAAATATATTTTATTGATTTTTTACAGAGAGGAAAGGAGAGAGATAGAGATAGTTAGAAACATCGATGAGAGAGAAACATCGATCAGCTGCCTCCTGCATATCCCCCACTGGGGAAGTGCGCGCAACCCAGGCACATGCCCTCGACCGGAATCGAACCTGGGACCCTTCAGTCCGCAGGCCGACGCTCTATATCACCTGGGAATCTTTTTAAAATCCTGATTTCTGGGCCTCGTCCTCCGGAAATTCTGTTTCTTTGTTATGGGGTGGGGCCACAACAGAATTTCCAGAGGATGAGGCCCAGAAATCAGGCTTTTAAAAAGATTCCCAGGTGATTCTAATGTGCAGCCAAGGTGGAGAACCACTGTGCTAGACACTTGGGGATACAACAGTACATAAGACACACACGATTCCACCTGCATGAAACTTCCAATGGAAGTTACAGCATAATGAAAAAAATATTAAAAAATCATATAGAAAGTATTGGAAGTGTTGAAGAGTGCTATAAGGAAGGTTGTGTAAGAGATTCGTCTACTTCAGCATCAGAGAAGGCCTCAAAGGACACCCCAGCTGAGACCTGGGGTGTGAAGGAGCCAGCCAAGCAAAGACCAGGAGGCATGAGCCTTCCCAGCACAGAGAGCAGCCCGGGAAAGGGAGAGAGACTGGAGAGAACTGGGGTGAAGGGAGGCCAGTTCATCTGGAGGAAGCAAGGCAGGGAGACGCAGTTAGAGAAATCAGCCAGGAACAGAGCATACAGGGTCTGGCAATCCATTTCTAGGTTATTCTGAAATCAAAGACAAGCAGCACTCACACAAAGAACACAGCACATTAGCTGTGCAGAGTAAGAGCTCAAAAACTGTGAGCTCCCTTCCCTGGCCTGAAACAGCCAAAATACATAAAAATGGCCCCTCTGTTTTGACTTTTGGGGTTTGGTTTTTTTAAACCATGGTCTGGAAGGGTAAGGTGAGGAGAGAGAGAGGGGATGTGAGGGAACATGTTCAAAATCAAACCAGCCAGAAACGCCGGCTGGGAGTTTTCTCTCCAGATCTCCATAGCAATGGCCGTATCAGTGGACCTGCAGGAGACAGAAGAGAAGTCAGCAGAGCCTGGAATTCCTTCTGCAACCAAGACTCAGATGCCAGGCAGGTAGCGAAGCTGCCCCTTCCCCACATCCTCCCATGCAGCTTGTCTGAGGACAGAGTCTGCCAACCTCCTCCTGACACCAGACTGACCCGTCATAGCCACTCTAGGCTGAAGCCATCAGCCTGGGCCAGGAAAGCAAAATACATTGTGGTTGGTAAAAAGCTGGGGGGGGTGGGGGGGGGGAGAATATGGCAAGTGGTGAGGACAAAGTCTATGGCAATTCACCCAGCATGCAATTGGGCCCTTCTTGGACTTCTAAAACCCGTACTTATGCATCCACACAGAATCTACAGTAGACTCCAAGAAATATGTAATACAAAATTATAAAATATAAATTAAAAACTGGGACTAGAGGAAAATAACTTAGAATAAGAAGTAAAGGCAGGAATAGAACAGGATGGGAAGTAGGATAAAGATACATAGGCCAGAAGGTCAGTTACTGAACCGGATCTGAAAATGTGGCTCTGAGTTCCCTGTTGGCCAAGTCAAAAGGAGCAGTAGAAGCTGCACTCACGGTCCACAAGGAGAAAGACACTCAGCTGTGCCCTGTCATGTGGCCTCGGGTAAGTGATTAACGCCTGCTTGGACTGTTTCCTCAACGCCAAAAAGGGATGAGAAACTACTGAATCTTTATGACTCTTTAATTTTTTTAAAAGCTGTAATAAAAATCAAATTGGCTTATCTTTCAGCTTAGACCCCAACATAAGACCCCCAAACCCCAATGTCTATAAGACCAATCGTAACAAAAATGAGAAGTACAGGTGTAACCCAGTCAGGAGGGGCAGCGGCTGTGGGAACTGCAGAGCCTGTGCTCTGTCGACAGGGGGCGCTGCTTCTCTCCTCCGGCTGATTCTTGACCTACAGCCGTGGTTCCCAACCTGGGGCACACATCCCACACGGGGGCAATTTGATTTTTAAGAAGGGCAATTTGAGAATGAGTTATTAACAGTGAATTTTTTGCATTTCTTATGGTTCTAAGGGTCTCATATACAGCATATAAATATATATATTGTGACATATTTATGCATTTCAGTTCTCTGTTATATGTTTTGAAACTTTATTTGCTATTTTTTTCATATCACTTCATATTATTATCATCTTTTAACAAACTCTTAGTGATTTCTTCCTCAGTACTTCAACTGTCCTTTCGTTCTTTCATTTTTCTCTTTCATGGATGCCATGTTCTTTGGAAGCTTGTGTAGACCAAGTTAATGACCTTTTAGGCTTCCTCCACGTGAATAGGAGGTCATTTTTTAAATAATAAGAATTATACGTCACACACTTCATATTATTATCATCTTTTAACAAACTCTTAGTGATTTCTTCCTCAGTACTTCAACTATCCTTTCGTTCTTTCATTTTTCTCTTTCATGGATGCCATGTTCTTTGGTAGCTTGTGTAGACCAAGTTAATGACCTTTTAGGCTTCCTCCACGTGAATAGGAGGTCACTTTTTAAATAATAAGAATTATACGTCACGGGGGGAGCATCAGGATTTTAGAGACGCTTAGGTGGAGCACGGCCTAAAAATGGTTGGGAACCACTGCCCTAGCAAGCATGTCAAACTCACCGCCGGCTACAAGTTCGACATGCTTGCAGAATGTGGGCCCATGTTCTGATTTTTGAGAGGAGCTCAAAACCAGAGTTTTTAACATAAACTCTTCTAACTTTTAAATGTTTACGTTTAATTCAAATTTACTTCAAATAATATGCAAGTCAAACATAGCCCCATTTGAAGGCCAATTTCCAGAAAGAAACAACAAAGCCCTTTACCGGCCTATACAGGGATTTTTCTACAAATTGCAATCCCCAGACCCTATCTTCCCCCAGCTAAGCACCTCAAAAAAGTATATCCCAGCAAACGTATGATTCTTTCTCAATCGCAACCCTCACATATGGTTGAGTTCCTCTGTGTTTTAGGGACAGCGAAGGACAAGCCAATGTAATAAAGAAGTCTTCACCAAGTAGCCAGATGGGCCTGGCTCTCTACATCATCAGAATGTTGAATTGCCCCCAGAAAGTTCTCAAGGTTCGGTAATGTGTGCGGAAATCAGCCCTTTCAACATCGCCTTCAAGGCGCATGGCCGAATTTATTTCTATTAGGAACAGAAAGCACCCATCCCTCTCCGAGTCATTATTCCTCCGTGCAGCCCCTGAATGAGCTTCACAGAGCCCTGCCACTCCATTCACTGCCAGTTCGGCACAGCAAGCGTTCGCCCAACGCCCACTGGATACAGGTGCCTCGCTAAGACAGGTAATCCAGATAAGCAGTGTAACACACTGCAGGGGCTCAACAGATGAAACCACTGCTCGTACAGAAACCAACTGGAAAACAGAAGCTGGTTTTCTTTTTCTTAATGTTTTTGTTTTTCAATTACAGTTGACATTCAATTTTATATTAGTTTCAAGTATGGAGCATAGCTTCAGCTGTACATTTATATAACTTAGGAAGTGATCTCTCGGATAAGTCCAGTACCTATATGACACCATACATAGTTATTGACAGTTTAAAAAAAAAAAAAAAGGCAGCCCTGGCCCACCAAAGGGTCACAGGTTCAATTCCCAGTCAACAGCAAATACCTGGGTTACAGGTTTGATCTGGCCCCAGTCGGGGCGAGGGCAGAAGGCAACCAATCAGTGTCTCTCTCACATCTATGTTTCTCCCTCCCTCTCTCTCTCTCTCTCTCCCTCCCTTTCACCCTCTCTAAAACAAAAACAAAAAAAGCCACCTAGTTTTCTGAACTTCTCTCTTCCACCATCTTTTCAACAAGAACTTCACCACGTACACAAAACACTCCTGGAAATGAGGATCCCTCAGACTCACTCACGCTGAGTCCTTCCCATCCATCACCAGGGACCACACTACACCTCCCCTCCAAAGAAGCACACATACCTGTCCTGGGCCTCGATTTGTGCCGCTGCCATTCCTGACTGTCAGTGTGGACGCAGCACATGGCCCTCCTGGCCCCGCCCTGCCTCTGATTCAGGTGATGACCACAGCTTGGCAGTCCCTCCTCCTCCCGGGCCCAGGGTATGCGCTCAGAGTCCGCAGCCAATGCTCCCAGCTGTTTAACATGGCTGGCACCTGTCTTACTTTGGAGGTGGTAACTGCCAGGTCTCTTTCCATTGCAAAGCAACAGAGAAGCAACTGGAACCAGTTAAGCAAACACAGTGCGTTTATTGGTCCACGTACATGAGGGGACCGGGGTCCAGACACAGTAGGATTCAGAAGCCCAGACAACACGGTGGAATTATCCTGTCTCTTGACTCTGCGCTCCTCCATGGCGGTGCCCTGAGGGGGCTTTGGGTGACTCCATTGTTAAGAGCCAAGTAGAGGCCTCCAGCCAGAGTAAAAAGCAGTCAGCACTTCCGTTCTACGGAGCCAGCTGAGGGAAGACTCCAGTTCAGTCTTCAGCCCCCTTTTCGCTTCACTTGGCCAGCCTGGCCCTGCAGGAGGCTGTTTCTTACCCTCGGGTTCCAGCTCATTGGAGGTCACGGAGAGGACGCTACGGGGCGGGCAGACACGGAAACGGGGCAACAGGAGGCTCCTCACTCCACCGGTGCCCTCGGAAGGCACGTTCCAGTCACTCTTCCTGCACCAGGAGCCTGTCCAAGGGCGCAGCCGGGAGGGAGCAAGGTGTCATGAGACCGGCTAACGTGCACGTGACTGAACCCCTTGCAGGCCGAAGCATAAACGCCGGCGCTGCGCCGAAGACCAGCCTTGCAGGTACAAGCCTCGCGTGTAAAGCCGCCACCTACCAATCTGCAGCCTGTCCTTTCCAGCTCTTTGCCCTCCGGGTAGGGGGCCAGGAACGGCAAGCTTGCGAACCCGAGCTCCCAGCTCCACCTTCTCAACCTGCGAAGCCACCTTCTCCACCTTCTCTCCCGCCCACAGCTGAGGCAGAAGCCCCGCCTCTTCCTGTTTCCCGGGTCCTACCACCGAGTGGTCTTTCTGTCCGAAGGCACGCTGGGTCATTGGTAGAGGTATTTGATTGTCAGGCCCTGCACCCAATGACTGATCAAGTTGGTGCTGGTCTCCACTTCTGAAGGGCTCTTTCATCCCGCAAGTCTCAGTGATTTTTGTTGTAAATGATAGAAGCCCAACTTATTAGAAGAATACTGAAGAATTTGTAATCATTACTGTTACTATTAGATATAATATTATTAGATATAATAATGACAGTTTTAGTAGTAGTATATTATTAGATAGGTAATTATTATTGGATATAACATATTATAGTTATTATTAGAATATAATAATATTATATTTGTTACCAGTGCTGAGAGGTGGGGAAAATGAGAAGATGTTGGTCAAAGAGTACAAATTTCTAGTTATAAGATGAATTTATTCAGAGGATCTAATGTACAGCATGATGATTATAGTTAATAATACTATATTATATACTTGAAAGCTGCTAAGAGAGTAGATCTTAAATGTTCTCACCACAAAATAGATAAGTATGTGATGTGACGGAAGTGGTGGTAATCAATTTGCAATGTATAAGTGTATCAAATAAACAAGTGACACACTTTAAACTTACTGTTATATGTCCGTTATATCTAAATAAAGCTGGGAAAATAATATTATATTGTAGTAGTCGTAGTAGTAGGTAATTAATAACACTGGTGCCATTATTATTATTATTAGGATGGGGAAGAGGAGGAAGGAGAAGAAACACTTCTGAAGCATTTACTATCTCTCAGGTACTATTTCAAGCACTTTGCATGTATCTCTTTTATTCCTTATAACCACCCTCTGAGGTAGGTATTCTTATTTATCCCATTTTACAAAAGACAAAAAAAAACTGCTGTCACAAGCATAGGCCGTGAACCAGGATTTGAACCTAGCTGGTCTGGCTCCAGAAGGCTACACTCATCACTGTTAAACTATAATCAAAGAAAGAGTAACCAGATGAGCAGAAATGTTCAGGTAGAACTTAAACCAAGCACTTGAATTCATTGCTCTCCGTCTCTGCCTCTGTCAACTTTTCCCTTCTCACAGCAGAGGAGCTTCCCTCCTGTGGCAGGAGATGAGGCTCCCTACAGCCCGCAGCCTCACAGCCTCCAGCATTCAGAAGGACTGACTGACACTTTCTCTGCTTCCAAGTTCAAAAATCCCAGAAGAGGGCTCTGACTGGCCCAGTTCAGGTCATGTGTCAACTTCTGGACCAATCATGTGTGGCCAGGGGGCCACAGTGCTATAGTTTCAGGGCTTTGGTTTCAAGTCAATCCATAGCAGGTGGAGGCAGGACCCCACTAGGGGGTCAAAGTGGCAGGGGTGAGAAAGGGAGTAAAAGCCATTGTCATGAGAAAGGAGGCATGCTGGGGACACTCGCACTGACTTCATCCTGAGACAAGGGAAGTTTGCCAGAAAGCCTCACTGTGAAGAAGCTAGTTGGCGGAGGACTGAGGGCCCTTGCAGCTGGGGCCCTTCTGACATCTGGTCCAGATGCCAGACATCATTCATTCAAAAGTGCACATGGAGCTTTAATGAGGGACTAAAGAGAACAGTCCTCCGGGACTCCCACGAAGAGGCATTAGCATTCATTATCATCCTGCTCTGCCTGCCTGCATGAAATATAAAGGGGTCTTTGAAGACACATTGAGAGTATTTAGCAAATGCTCCAGAACACCTCTTCTGAAAATAGCCCACGCGCAGGACTCTGTAATCGGTTAAGTCTCACCGTTGCAATTTTGGCAGGAGGTGGGCTAACTTGACAACTGACATTCATTTCCACATCCTCCTATTTGTCCGTTCCACTGTCTTCTCTTTCCTCCACCCCAATCCTGACTTACATCTCAGAACCCCGGGTGGTGGGTAAGAAAGCAGGCTCTCCAACATGTCAAAACTGTTTGAATCTTGGAGGTGCTGCTGACCCTCTGGGCGATCTAGGGAAAGCTATGTGACCTGCCTGAACCTCAGTTTCCCCACCTGATAAGTGGAGACATGAGTACCTTCCTAGTAAGGTAGTTAAGAGGATTTTAATAATGGGGGCAGAGTCCTGTATTAGTCAGGGTGCAGTGACTGTGCTGCAGTGTCGAATAAAACTCCAAGTATCAGGAGCTGAGTGCCATTCATGTTTCCTGCTACATGAGAGGATCTCTTCCAGGGTAGGACAAAATAAGGCCACGTCACCAAGAGATGCTAACACCAGCAGAGGTAATAGGTGGGGAGATGTGTAAAGCATCTTGGAGTCACTGAGTCCCTTGTCCCAGATCCATGCAGCGACTCCTTCCTCTCCATAAGCCACTAAGTTCCAGTTTTGCTTCAGGGTGTTTGAGGTCGGCTGTGATCACTTGTACCTGAAGGGGCACAACCTATCGGATTAGCCAGGGGGCTGCTGATGGGTCCCTTGCCGAGTGCTTAGTATGTACCAGGCACTGTCGATCATGTTTTCTGAGCATGTCCCGGGCACTGTTCTAGGCACTTCAAATACACCCATTTCTGCTTAGGCTCAGCTTCGCTT